TCAGTGAAGCAAAACTGTAAAACTTAGCAAAGGGCCGAGTTAAACAGTAATAGCAGAAAGATACAGAAACATTTTAAAAGTTGAATGGTGTTTCTAGCTGAAAGTATGCTGAAGTTGTTAAAGGTCAAAGATGATGAAGTTTCAGCTGAAATTTGCTGAAATGTAAGAATTCTACATGCATTTCAATGGGACAAAAAAAACGCAGAAAAAGCTGAATATCGCGAAAAACTACAAAAAATATCTTTACCCAAAGACATAGCAAGATTCTCCTGAAAAAGCTGAAAGTTTTGATACCAAAATTGTTGAAATCGGTTGAAAACTACAGGACTAGTTAGAGTCAGAAAAATAAAGTGAACAACAATAAGTGGGAATGTATAAGCTTTTCCTCCTCAGTAATGGAAGCACTGGACGAAGAGATGTGGAGCTTCTTGAGGACAGTTTCCTGCTGATTTACAGTTGGAAATCTCTGGGTCTGAACGAGGCTTTATTCATGCAACAGGACAGTCATTTGTAACGGCAAATATTTTATTGTATGTATACATCTTTGCTTGAACATAGAAGTCTTTTCTTTACATCATTGTGTAAATTTAAAATATTCCTTCCTAGGTGATCCCAGTAAAGCCTTAAAGCAGCAGTTTCTGTCTGTCCCTTTTCTGTTAATGTTGTTGCTATGAAAATCAAAATAAAGTGCCTCACATGAAGAACCAAAACTATCTGACAACCATCACTGGCAAAACCCAGGGTTGGTCTCAGCTCTTCCAATTCCAGGGGACACATAAGTCCCCATCCTGCATTACAGAATAAAAATGAGAAACGCAGACATGGAGCCCCTGCATGAGTGGGGAGTGCTGCTCCATCAGCCTTCTGCAACAGAGGATCATCTGTGTGGAGCTAACACTGGGCTCCTTGGAAAGGCCCCTCAGAGACAGCCGCTGGAGACATGAAGTTACTACCGCCTCTTCTTCTGCCAGCAACCTTAACAGAACACAAAGACAGAAAAACACAAGGACAGTCAATAACACAACATTCTACTTCCTAGAGAAGGGGTCCCAAAGTTGGGTGAATAAACAGAATATTTAATCCAACATGTCAAGAAAAAAACCCTTTGATAAAAAGGATATTTAGGAGTGTTTCTAGAACCATTGGCTTCATCAGAGCGAGATCTACAGATCACACTGGAGCAGTGTGAAGCGGCCGGGGTGAGGATCAGTGCCTCTAAATCCGAGACAATGGTCTTGAGCCGGAAAAGGGTAGAGTGCCTTCTCCTACTGCCCCTTTGAGTATTTAAGTTAAGTAAGGAGTTTAAGTATTTTGATATTATTTATTTTCACAACAAAAACATAAAAACAGAATAATGTTTCACTAAAAAAGAAAATGTGATGGACAACTGCCAAAAACCCCACAAGGGGCTTAATGAGTGGAAGTCTCCATAAAAATAAATATATTTCACCATTTCAGACATCTATATGATATTGTGTAAAAAAAAAAAAACAAAACAAAAAACAGCATTTCTTTGAATAAAACAATTTAACATATAATTTAGACCACAAATTCATATGAAAAGTTCAGACAACTTAGTAGCAGCAATTTTAATCTCCGTTTGAATTTGTTCTTTAGAAAGATCTATCAGTGATGTGGGAAGACTGTTCCATATCCTTGATCCTTTGTATAATACACTAAACAGTGGCTCTGTTCGAAAACCTAGGACGGGTCCTCCAAGGACGCGGTCTACCTAGACTGGATCCTTCGAAGTCCTTGAAAATAAGGAG